GTAAGTAAGTAAGTCTGTATGTATGTATGTATGTATGTATGTATGTATGTATGTGTGTATGTGTGTATGTGTGTATGTGTGTATGTGTGTATGTGTGTATGTGTGTATGTGTGTATGTCTGTATGTATCTATGCATCTATGTGTGTCAAGGTACACATGCGTTTATGCTGACACATAGTATAGGACAAGTGATTGTCTGGTTTCTTGTAGCTATACATAAAGGCAAGGACGTGCATACACATGTGCGGACACTTATGCGCTTCACAGGAACCCAACGCCCTCGGGTTTTGAATGTGGCAGGTACTGAGGTCTGGCGAGACGGTTGCCTGTCGCCGTTCCAGAATGCCTACAAAGCTTCTGTGCACTATGTCAGCGGGAACATGCCAGAAGAGATGTTTGTGAACTCGGAAGGGGTGCTTGGATATTCACCCAGCATTTGTTTTCGACATGGCTGCTCTTGTTTGCAACGTAAATCCAGGCCAGTCAAGCGCCAAACGATTTCTAAAATTCTCGAATAACCGCGCCCAGCGGATCCAGGTATCTATGTGTTAAACCCTAAACCCTAAACCTTAAACCCTAACCCCTAAACCCTAAACGCTAACCCTTTTTATGCTTGGGCCTGTCGCCTCCCAGATTCGCAGCCCCGTTAAAAGCCGACCTTGGATCCGTAGGTCCGATTTCGCGAAACCCACCCTAAACCCTAAACCCTAAACCCTGAAACGGCCCTTCGCCTCGAAAAAAACAACCGAAATCCAGAGAAGCAGAGCCGAGGCCTACAAAGTTCCTCTCAGCTTAGTGCTGCTGTCTCTCAGCATGACCCTGGGCTGCAGGTTTAGGGGTTTAGAGTTCGGGGTTTAGAGTTCAGGGTTTAGGGTTCAGGGTTTAGAGTTCAGGGTTTAGAGTTCAGGGTTTAGGGTTTAGGGGTTTAGAGTTCCGGGTTTAGGGGTTTTGGGGCTTAGGGTTTAGGGGTTTACGGTTTAGGGCTTGGGCAGTTGAAAGAGTATTTTTGAGCTTTTCAAGATCATCGAACCTCTTCCTACGACCTACGTTTTAGGGTTTGGGGATGTTTTGGGCTTAATGTGGCTCACCTTAAAAATTCTGACATGCTGTAATTTAGCAAGGAACTGAGTTCCCCTCTTCGTGCTGACACTGGGCTCTGTACATCAGACTCAGAACAGCTTTCTCCCCGATTGATTGCATAATCGCTCGGTCAATCCTAAAACATCCTGGGCACGCAGATCTGCAGGAAGACCTGGAAAGCTGAGTTTAGGGTTCAGGGTGTTGGGTTCATGGTTTAGGGATTCGGGTGTTGGGTTCAGGGTTTAGGTTTTAGGTTTAGCGTTTTGGGTTCAGGGTCTAGATTTGGTACTGAATTGGGACTTGTAGAGAGAGAGAGAGATGTTCTAAGCCTTGAGCCCCACATGGAGCATTGAGTTGCCACAACCTGCTCTTGTGCAGGGTCCCTATAAGTTCTAAGTTAGCGTTGATAGAAAGACCCTACAAGTAGTCCAAGTAGAAGTCGATGCAGGTAAACCCCAAACCTCACACCCTAACCCTAAACCCTAACCCTAAACCCAAAGCGTAAACCCCCAAACCCTGATCCCAAGCCTTCAGGAAAAAAACAAACCCTACATACTAAACCCAAAGCCTAAAACCCCAAACCCTGATCCCAAGCCTTCAGAACAAAACAAACCTTACATCCTGAACCCTAAACACTAACCCCTAACCTAAACCCGAAGCCTAAGCCCACAAACCCTGATCCCAAGCCTTCAGAAAAAAGCAAACCCTACATCCTACACCCTAAATTAACCCCTAACCCTAAACCCAAAGCCTAAGTCCCCAAACCCTGATCCCAAGCCTTCCGAAATTCAACAAAACCTACATCCGACACCCTAAACCATAACCGCTAACCCTACACCCAAAGCCTAAACCCCCAAACCCCTATCCCAAGCCTTCAACAAAATCTACATCCCAAGGATCCTGGTCACTGCACCTTTGGTGCCTTTGGGGCTGCCGCTGATGGCGACTTACGGCGTCTGGACGGTGGGCTGGCCCAGAACAGGCCGACGGCATGCAGAGAGCCTTTCGGGTTCAAGCTTTAGGGTTTCGGGGTTTACGGTCTGAGGGTTTGGGCAACATAGGGTGTAGGGTTTCAGGGTTTAGGCTTCATTGGCTGTAGTTTTGAGAGCCCGATACCTTTCGGTTACGGAAGAGAGCTCAAATCATGAGGGGCCTAATATGGTAGTATCAAACTGGCATTCCTTCAGGGGTATTGTGGGTTGACCTGTAGCTCGAACGTCTCCTGTAGCATCTCCCTAACCAATCCCTAAACCCGAAACCCTAAACCCTAAACCCCTAAACCCCTAAACCCCTAAGCCCTAAACCCTAAACCCCTAAACCCCTAAACCCTAAACCCCTGATCTCAACACCCAGAAGCCCTCTCTTGATCAGGTTGTGATGCAATTCTCCGATTGCTGGGCATTTTGCTTTCGTGGGCTCCGTTGGCCCTGCTCCGAGGTTGTTCAGTGGTATACTCTTTGTGTTGTTTCGTGTTGGGGTTTCCGGAAGAGTTCATACCTCTTGCCCAGTTCGTGGCTGAATAGATCAGGCTTATGCAAAACATCGCAGCTTTCAATTTAAAGCCCTAGGTTAATTCCTCTGGCCCGGATGATTAGCACTGGGCAAACACTGCAGCTCTTCGAGGAAGAGAAGATCTCGCGCGTGGAGGCCCTGACATGGTTTACGGTCTTCTACAGGGTGTCCACCTGAACCCCAAACTCTAAAGTTTACTTCGGGTTTAGGGCTTAGGGCCTACACCCTAAAGCCTAAACCGTAATCTAAACCCTAAACCCTAAGTATAAGGTGTCCATCAAGTTTCAAGTTTATGTTCAGGAGCTACGGGGTCTACAAGCCAATAATGTCTCCTTGAGGTCCTCGGGCCGTTTATTTGCTGCCTGCTTGCATCTCTGGTCTTCTTTTCCGACGTTTTCCTCTACATCGTTGCCTGGCGTTCTTTTGGTTGGCTCTCAGGACTTTAACTTTTTGGGTTTCATATGAACTATAATAAGGGAGCTAAAAGTTTAACTTTTAGGGGGGGTTCAGAAGTCAGCCAAGGTTGAGAGGGCTTGTGCATGGATGGTCTGGGACGAATTCGCTGAGCTGGAAGAGAAGGCGCCTGCCTCGGAATCTCAGCAGTGTTCCAACACCACCCCCAAAAACTCCCGTTATGTTTAGGGTTTAGGGTCGCGACAACGACACCCCTAAACCCTACAGCCCTAAACCCTAAACCCAAACCCTGAAAAGAAAAGCCCTAAACCCAAAAGTAGTGGTTGGCGTGAGCCTTCGATCCCCTGGTAAGCACCCATGAACCTAAACCCAAAACCCTAAACCCAAAACCCTAAAACCCTAAACCCTAAAGCCCAAACCCTAAACTACTTCAGGGGCTGTGGGATGGTTCAAAGTTTAGGGTTCAGGGTTGTCTAGGGGTGCAGGAATCCTCTCAAGTTGGCTCGGGACCCTGAGCCCTACACCCCTTCGGGTTTAGGTTTTGTTTAGGGTTTAGGGTTTAGGGTTTAGGGTTTAGGGTTTAGGGTTTAGGGTTTAGGGTTTTGGCTTGATGGGTTTCTTGCAACTGCTCTGCAGTACCTTAACATAGTGGAAGAGAGGATGGTGGTGATAGAAGAAGCAGGACGAAGATGCAGATGGTGGGTTTGACTCGCCTGAAAACAATGATCCTGCTGACGATTGCGATGAGGACATGATCACGGGCGTCATATGCGGATGATGAGGACGATCATGGCTTTTGGGGCGTGTTCTTGTGCAGTAGCAGTGGCAGCAGGCACCGTCGTCGTCTTCGGTCGTGGTCGTTCGGTAACCTTTCCTTGGCAGAGGGCTCCCCGAAACTAAGCACCTAATGTAGGGGCCTGAATAATTACCAATACTACTTTAAAGGCTCCTTATTATTATTATTATTGTAGTATAATGGGCCCCAAAACCCTATTCTAATTTTCAAGGTCCCTATATTAGTTAAACTGCACCAACCCACTTCACGATCATGGACAACCTACAGCACCCCCCTCAAACAAATCTGCACGATGCAATACCCAATGCCTCTAGGACATTTTCAGGTGGGTAGTTACCGTTGTAGGAGCCTTGTAGAAGGTCTATATACCTTATAGAAGCCTTAGAAGCCCTATATACCCTAAACTCCCCACCTGTAGTTTCCTAAATCCTAAACCCTAAACCCTAAACCCTATATACCCTAAACTCCCCACCTGCAGTTTCCTTTAAATGCCTTCAGGTTTTCGAGGTGGACGAGGATGTCATGGAGCCCTGGGCGCAGCTAGTCGGTTCTGAACGTGCTGTCAGGATTAGGGCCCTAAACCCTATAAACCCTAAAGCCATAAACCCTAAATCCTAACCCCCCCCCCCCCTGTAAACCCTAAAGCCCTAAGCCCTAAATCCTGAGCCCCTGAACCCTGTAAGCACTAAGTCCTAAATCCTAAACCCCTAAACCCTAAATCCTAAAACCCTAAACCCTCTTTCGATTGTTGCAGGCTCAGGATTACGGGAGGGGCGACCTTCTGGCACGGATTTCGTCGGTGGTCTCTAGCCTAGTCGTTTGGGTTAGGGTTTAGGGGTATTTCAGTACCGGCTGCGGAAAGGAAGCCCACTTCAGATTGTTAGGGTTTAGGTTTAGGATTTATGCAGCACTTCCTCCAGCTTGGTGATCGGTGCTTCTTGTGCCACAGGTGTCTCGAAGCCATCTCCAATACCCTGACCAACCCAGAGAGCCCAATGCCCTTTCAATGACGTCATATACCCTGAATCATGAAGTTGAGCACCTTACGCGTTTAAGGGCATCCTTTTGGTGTTTCGGGATTTAGGATTTAGGGTTTAGGGTTTAGGGTTAGGGTTTAGGGTTTAGGGTTTAAGGTTTAGGGTTTAGGGTTTAGGGTTTAGGGTTTAGGGTTTCTAGGGTTATTTCAGGGCATACTTCTGAGGTAAGCTCAGGCGTCCTGTGGGAAGCCCGAAGTCTCCGAAGTGTCGGAAGCAGTCGTGCAGGAAACAGCGAGAGGAACCCTCTAAACCTTAGGGTTTAGGGTTTTGGGTTTGGGGTTCAATCAAAACCCCGAAACCGCCGAAACCCTAAACCCCAAAGTCTAACTCTAATCCCTAGACTTTAAACCCGAAGCCCCCAAACCCTAAACCTCAGGATTGATAGAGGGCCCAGTTGGGAGCAAGAGGAGGCCAGTGAGCTGGAAACCGCAAGTGCTTCTCTTCTTAGCATGCCCTAGGTCCTGAGTTCCCTGAATAGTTGGGTTTAGGGTTTCGGGTTAGAGTTTGGGGTTTGGGGTTTAGGGTAGGTTACTGACACAATATCATGTCCCCGGTAGCCTGTTATTTAGGCAACTGGAGCCCAAGGGTTAGACAGGTCGTTTTCAGGCAGGTTCGCATGCGTTTACAACAGATCGGCGCCGTAATCTATTGTGATGGAAGGCCATTGAAGTTTCATCGGTTTAGGGTTTATGGTGTAGGGCCACATCAATATCGATACTGTTCCTTCAGTCGTTCGTTGACTGACTTCTTTTGGCATCTTCCGAGCACAAACTAAGTTTGTATTAGCTTTAGTTGCATTGTGTCTGTAGTGCCAAAAACCCCGGAGGGGGGGGGGAGGGGTCGAGTGTGCGCTCC